TGGGGGAGGAAAGCCCTTGTCACCCCCCTGACCTCGGGGAGCACCTGCCTCTCGCCTCTGCTCCGCCTGCGCCAGCCTCCGGGCCCTGAGGCAGTTTCCTCTCGCAAAGCCCCCGGGCAAGGGCCTCAGCCCCGCACACACTGGGCCGAGTCAGACACCTGGGCCCCTGCCCCCCCAGTTCCTTTGCATCAACAAAGGGGCCAGGGAAGCCCGGGCCTTGGACTCCTGGGAGCAGGTAGATCAGGGATCGGCAACCTTGGGCACGCGGCTCGCCAGGGCAAGCCCCTGGGGGGCCGGGCCGGTTTGTTTACCTGCCGCGTCCACAGGTTTGGCCGTTCGCGGCTCCCACTGGCCGCGGTTCGCCGTCCCAGGCCAATGGGGGCGGCAGGAAGCGGTAACCAGTACATCCCTCGGCCCACACCGCTTCCCGCAGCCCCCGTTGGCCTGAGCCGCAACCGGCCCAACCTGCAGACGCGGCAGGTAAACAAACTGGCCCGGCCCGCCAGGGGGCTTACCCTGGGAGCCGCGTGTCAAAGGCTGCCGATCCCTGGGCTAGATGCTACCCAGGGTGTGCAGATAACCATCTCGAGTGCCAGCTAATATACCAGGCCAGGGGGTGGGGGGCACTGCCGGCACCCTCATGGGAGAGGCTAACAGAGCAGAATTTCTCAGCAAAACCAACCCAATGCAACGGTGGGTCTCGGACAGACGGACAGACAGGAGTCTGATTTCAAATAGCTTTATAGCTGGACAATACAAAAAGTTTTCCTTTAATGCTCAGACTGTTAAAACGGGGCAAGACCGCGCCCCCTGGTCCTGCAGAAAGCTCTGGGAGGTTAAAAACGATTACAAACCACACCAGCAACCACTTTACAAAAGGGAACAAGTCATCAAAACAGCAAGAAATTAACAAAACCAGGAGATTCCCCCAACCCACCCGAGAGCAGCCGGGCCCAGCACACAGGCCAGCTGCAGTCCAGTCCAGGGTGCCCAGCGAGGGTTGGGATGGCCCATGGCTACTAAACACGAGCAGCTGTTAGCCAGCTAGCAGACCTGCCACCGGGCGATGTGTGTACGCAGCAGGGCAAAGTGTGTGCCTACCCATCAGCCCCTGTGCCATGCACCAAGCTGCTCCCAGTGCTGTTCTCAGCTCAGGACCCCCCCCCCCCCCCCCCCCCCCCCCCCCCCCCCCGGCCCCTGCCACCAGCCTGCCCCCCCCCCTCAGCCATTGGAGCAGGAAGAGACCCAGCCCATCTACCAGGCCAGGCCTCCGGGTTCACGCCTCCCCCCATGAGTCTCACTCTCTGCTTAACTGGGTCCAGACAGTCCCCCCACCCCAGCTCGCTAATCTAGGTCTGCGCCACTGGTGGAAAGCAAGTTGCCCCCTGCACCGCATGCACCGGCTAAGGGGCGTCCCGGCCCCGGGGGCTCCACAGCTCTTGCCGACACCAGAAGCAGGCGCAGGGCCCTGGCTCTGGGCGTCTGTTCCAGAATCCCCACTTTGCTTTAAAAGTGTGGCAGCCAAGAGACCCCCACAAACATGACCCGAGTGCAGCCGCTGCCTGGAATGACAGCACCGAGCGGTGTGAACGAACTGCCAGGCAGCCGAGGGAACCCGATGGGCTGGTGAGCCGAGCTGCCCACGGAGCAGCACAGCAGGCTGGGAGCCAGGCCCTGCAGCAGGCTACGTCCCTGGTACAGAGGGAAGGGAGGCAGCTCTGTGCTGGGCTGCTGGCAACCCCAGGAAAACACCTTCACACCCACTGCTGCTTATTGCCTGCTCCGAGCCCTAGTCCTGTGCGTGGGGGGCGGGGACAGGAGGGACGCCCGTTCAGAAGCTGCTTCCACGGGCCTGGGTCCTGCTTTGTCAGAGCGTGTGGCCTGGTCACAACATGCGCATTTCCAACCTGTGCGCCCCCCACGCTCCAGGCACAGCGGGACCCTCCGCGCCTCCCCGGCCTTGTGCCTGTAGCCGGCCGTGTGACGTTAGCTCACGTTGGAAAGGGGCACGTGTAGCTTCTGCTCAGCTGCGTAACCGCCCACTGGCTTTCATGGGCACCCAGGAGGCAACAGGCACCATCCAACCAATGCCGAATGGAGCAGCCACGCTCCCCCTAGCGCAGACAGGCCCAGCAGTGCAGGGTGTGTCTGGCTCTCCCACCCAGCATGGCACGATGGGGCTTGGAGGCTCCATGGGCCCCAGGCATTCAAAAATCATGAGTCACATCCCAAAGTGCGAGGACGTCTAATGATGGCTGTGGAGCCTCTTGGGCCATGTCTCCCAGCTGCTCTCAGCAGCCCCCCGGGCTGGGGGGTGACTTGTAACGAAATCTGGGTCTCACCTAATCCAGGCCCAAGGCAGGAGCTTTACGGAAACCCAGCGTGCAGCATGACCTAGCAGAGCAGCTCCTCCCAGGGCGCCGAGAGCGCTGCGGCTGGGGGCGTCTCACCGCAGACACTATTTGTGAGTGATCAGAAGAATCCACCTCCCACCTGCAGCAGGCCCAGCTCAGCTCCGAGGGGCCTGCACTCCAGATACTCAGCCAGGATTCCACACACGTCCCGAGCACCGGCTGCGGTCTGGGGAAAGGGAGAGAAAGCCGCCTTCCCTGCTGCTCAGACGTACGCTGGCAGCATCCCCCCCCCCCCCCCAATCATGGTGCAGACCCACTGCCCTCCCCTCCGGCAACAGCACAGAGCCGAGTGCTGCTTGGGAAGTGGCGGCTCAGGGGTGGGACAGACACACACACACCCATCAAGTGCAAAGGGCTCAGCGTGCTGGTTCCACTACAGGCCCCTGCCAGGAGACGGAGCCCTGGCTGTTCCCAGCCCTGGCTGCAGCCGGGGGTGGGGGAGAAGATCTGTAACGCTGCTCTGGGCTCAACTCCCAGCTCTAGGGGTCACACCACAGCTCCCCCATCACCAGGACACAGCCCTCGCCAGCTCTGCCCCACTTCTATCCAGTAGAGACTGCTCCGAGCATCCGCATTTGCAGGACGCCGCCGGCCCCAGGGCTCTCTGTGAGACAGTCACTTACTCTGCCCCCAGACAGAGATTCTGCTACCACTGGCTGCTCAGCTCGGCCAGGAACAGAGACCTCAGAGCCCCGATCCGGACTTCACACTCTGGGCTGGCAGGCACGGGAGTATGTGGGGGCAGGAACTGGTCTCTCCTCTCCCTCCCATGGACACTCCGAGTATTTTAAAAGGGCACGAGCTGCACCAGGCCCAGCCACGCAGATGAGCAAGAACAGAGAGGAAACATTACCGAAGCCAGACGCCAGCACTCGACATCGTCTCTTGCACGCAGGGAGAGGGGTGGCTACAAAATAAGGGGGGGGATTGGCCCGAAAACCAAGCAGGGATCTGTACGAGGGGAGGGCAGCACGGCCTCTCCCTAGCCGGGCCCAGCGCCCGCTCAGCCGTCATTGGCCGCCACCAGCTGCCCCATGCCCTCCCGGATGTACACCGACTGGATCTCCTTGGTCTTCAGGCAGTAGTCACAGGCCCAGACGGCCGAGGCCTCGGTGGTGAGCAGCCCGTAGGCATTCTCCGTCATGCCCGTGCACTCCCGGTGGAACCACTTCTGGCAGGAGGCCTCGCACAGGATGGCGTCCTGGTCGTCGTTCACCTCGCTGCGGCAGGCCCCGCAAGGGTACACCAGGCCCGGCGGTGGCTGGTGCCCAGAGTTGCCAGACGCCTTGCTGGAGGGCGGGAGGCTGTTAGCTTCGGGGGTGCTGCTGCTCCGGCTGGCGCTGCTGGGGGCGAAGCTTGGCTGGGCCCCGTTCACCGCGGCCGGTGAGCCTGAGTGCGGCTCCTGGCTGAAGGTGCTGGGAGGGGGGTTGAGGTTCTTTCCCCCGTCATCTCCTCCAGCCGGGAAGCCGGGGTCAGCCCCAGGGAAGGGGCTGGTGTTTGGGGGCAGGTTCTGGCTGGGCCGCTGCATTGAAGACTGTCCAAAGAGATTGGCGGGCTGGCTGAACCTCTGGGCCATGGGGGGCCCGGCAGGGGGATTCAGGGCAGGCCCTGGTGCCATGTCTGCCCGGGGAGGCTGCCCCATGGTGGGGGAGATCATGGGCCCAAAGCCCCCAACTGGCCCCTGCATGAGCTGCCCTGCGGGGGGGCTGAAGTTCTGTCCGAGAGGCTGGTTGAAGGGCTGGCTGGGGAAGCTCATGGCACCAGGCTGCACGTAGTTGGGGTTCTGGGGGGGCATGCTGAAGGCTGGGCCCATCTGGCTCGGGGCGAAGGGCGGGGGCTGCCTCCGCATGGCCTGGGGGCCCCCCCCGTAGCCCGGTGGCACCTGGGATGTCATGCCCCCCTGCATGCGGAAGTTCCCAAAGGGCACCGGGTTGCCGAGGAACGGAGCCGACGAGGCCCCCACTTTAGGCGCCCCAAAGTCATCTTCAAAGGGGTTGGAGGCCACCAAGTGGTCGACCATTGGAGTCGGGGGCGGGGCGAACTCCGAGAGATGGGAATAGGCAGGGCCCTGTGGGGAGAAGGCACAGGAGTTAGTGTGGGGCTCACCCACGCAACAAGCAGACGTGTGGGGCCCAGGTCTACCAGGAGCACAGGGCCCTCAGCTCCCGCTGGTGCCAGGCAGGGCCTGGGCGGAGACACACAGCACTGGCAGGGCCGAGCCCCCTGGTTCCTCTGCATAGCCTGGCAACGGACGGCATTCGGAGCAGCAGGAAGCCGCCCCTCCAGGAGCCTCCTGCTACTGGGAGGAGGGGGAAGACGAGCCCTGTCTGGAGCAGGGACCCTGGGCTCCTAGCGCCATCCGTGTCAAAGGCACCCGGACACTGGGATAGTCCCCAGGCCATGGGAACAGCCACCACTGGCTGCTTTCGAGGACGGGCACCGCTGCTCGTACAGCCCCCACTGGCTGCGCGCTGCTCCATGGGGGTGTGGCGTGTCCGGCCGGCGGAATCTGATGCAGGACACTCCGAGCAGCCCCAGGGTTTGGCTCCAACCTGCTGAGGGTGGGGCTGTCTGTGCCCACAGGTGCCGTGCTCGTGTCATGGTGCTGGTCTGACAGCCTGGCCCCCACAATCCTATCACGGAGTCTGAACGCACAGGGTCCCAGCCGTGCCCCTACCTGAGTGTTGGATTTGCGCCGTTTTTTTTCAGGGCTTTTCATTTGCAGACCTGTGAGGGGAAGCATGGGTGAAGTCAGTGAGCTCCGTCAACCCTGGCAGGGCCTGAAGACAGCCCGTCCCCCCGTCCCCCCTACGCACGGAGGGAAAATAAAGACCAGACACCTCCCAAACTCTCTTCTCCCACAAAACCTCCCTGTTCTCACACCCGACCTGCTCCCCCAGGGCAGGGCCAGGGCAGACTCCCAGACACAGGCAGCGTTTCCACCCCATTGATGAAGGGACAGAAGAACTTTATGGCCTGATAAGGTCACCAAGAAGTCTGATCCAGGGAGAACAGGAGCCGGCTACGGCCCCAGGACTGAGCCGCACCATGGCCCTGCTCGTGCATCCCCGGTTCTCAGCTGCGTGCAGGGTGGCTGGCGTCCCGGTCCGGCTCCCCCAAAGCTCCGTTCCCAGGTGAACGTGTTCCCTTCCTCACAAAGGGCCAGGCTCCAGTTGTGTTCAGCGCAACTGCTGCCTGTGCAAGCTCAACCTGTGCGCAGGAAGGGCCGGCGGGGACGGCTGCTGCACCCCGTCAGGCCTCAGCTCGGCCTCTGCGCTCCGGCCCTGCCTCTGCGCTCCGACCCTTCCTGCGCTGCACAAACGCCTGCCAGGCACGACTCAGCCCTGGGTCAGCTCCAGGTCACCCCGGCCTGCAGTCAGGCGGCTTGTGCTGGCAGAGCCAAGGAACAGCCATAACCCCTTGGAAGCGCCATGGGGCAGGGACCCATAGCCCAGGCTCTCCGTGCAGAGCGCCAGGCATGCGGCCCCCATGGCCCTGCCCCCTGCAAGCCCTGTCCAGGGGAGGGGGGTGCCGTGCAGACCCCACCGCCCCGGGCTACAGCCCAGCACGTACCAGTCACGCAAGAGCCAGGACAGCCCTGCCAGTGTCACTGCCCCAGAGGGATGTGGGGCGCTAAGCCCCCCTCCCCCCGCCACCAACCCCACCGCCCCCTGGCCCCTCCGCGACCCTGTCACTCCGCCTCGCCCTCCCCACCCCCCCAGCACAATTCCCTCATCCCCTTCTGAGCGCCCCAGCCCCCATCGCCCCCTGAACCCCCAACCACCCCCTGCCCCAGGGCCCCCCCCAGTTCCCCCCCACGTGGCCACCCCCCGGCTACACCCCCCACGTGCCCCCCCTCCCAGCCGCCCCCCGGTTCCCCCCCGCCCAGCCCCGCGGCCACCCCCCGGCTACCCCCCCCACATGCCCCCCC